AAAAAAAAAAAAAAGGTGGGGGTACAAATTCATGAAATGTAAAGAAATGGAGTCACTATATGTGTATCATGTTGACCAGAAACAAGGAGTGGAGTCCAAAGTCATGAGACCCTTCAATATGAAGGTAGCCCCACAGCTGTGAAGGCAGCATGCCCTCCAATATGCAGTATCAAAGTCAAGAGAGACAGGTTCTCCTGTCTGGGCGTTTTGGAGGGTGATGGCACACTCAGGGGAATTTAGAGCAGGTGAATGCTGATTTTGCTTCCAACTCAATTTTTCTGCCACGTTCTAGTGTGTTCTTGAAGGTAATTCTAAAAGCAGATGTTTAAAAGACATGTGATGGTGATGACATTTCTATGTGTGTCATCAGCTAAATGACAGCTTAGGAAGCACAGTGTTTATATTCATGTATATGTTGGGATTTTTGTTGAAAAGCAAAAATGGCAGTCATGGTTGTCATGTAGGTCAGAAGCCTCAATGATTCTATGGCCAATCTTCTTGCAAATGTGACAGCCATGTAAAAATCAGGACATGTCAAAATGGGAATGGTGCCAACTGGCTTCTTGGGAATGTTAGAAGGAATCATGACTGTAATTGATGAGACGAGATCAGTATGTCACTAAAGCAGAGTATATTCTGCTGTGCAGATGATGACCAGACAAGTTAGAGTGAATGGTTAAGAGTTTCCTAAGACCTCCTGGAACACCTTGCCAGGTGTTGCATCAAGTTCACCGGCTCTTGCCAGCATCTTTCTACTTCTTCCTTGTTTCATCTGCCTTCTTGGCAGTGTTTGGTTCTTGTGGTCTTTTATTTTTATTGTTTGACTTCTTTTCTTAGCTCCATAAAGTTCACCATGTGTTTATTGTGGTGAAAGCACAATAAACTTGCTTAATAGAAATCAGGAGCATTAATTCACTGTGTTAGTGTGTACCGTACCCATATTGCTGAAAAAAATACCCAGCAATAAGAGCCAGATTGCTTAAAAATATTCAGGAAGTTTTGTAGGGGTGGCTCGGGGGTGAGGCAGAACTTTCTCAGAAGCAAGATTTGACACGAACCAACCAAGGAGTGTACAGAAAGTCTTCCCTTAATGTCGCCGACAGTTTCATGGAAACTGCAACTTTAAGCAAAATGATGTCTAATGAAACCAGTTTTACCATAGACTCATTGATAAAAACAAGAGTTAGGCTCCTGCGGCGTATTTCTGGTCACAAAAGAGTCACCAAACTTCTAAATAAAGACCCAAGACACTTCTAAAAGTAAACATTGACGTAAATGTGAGCTGTATGTACATTTAAGAAAGATGAATAAAAACAAGTTAGGTGATGATTTATGCCCAGTTACTCCAGTTCAGGGTCTTGGGTGGCCAAAGCCTGTCCCTACAACTTCGGGCATAAGGTGGGACACAAGCCTGGACAGATCACCATCCCATTGCGGAATGACTCAGACACAGCCACACTCAGACTGGGACCATGTAGACATACCAGTGAACCGAACATGCTCATCTTCGGGATGTGGGAGGACACTGGAGGACCAGGGGGAAACCCACACAGACACAGGGGGAACACAGAAGATGCCACACAGCCAGGGGCCCTGATCAGGAAGCCATTCTTTTCTCATCAGGGTTATAATAAAGCTACATTGAGCACAAGGACATTGTTCAAGGACCAGCTTGCTGTACTATTGTGTACAGGACTTAGATAGTCATCCTATTGTAGGTTTTGTTGTTCTGCTTCTTAAAGAAGAATTAAATTGCATCTGGGAGCAGCTCTTGAAATTGATCTAGAGTATAAGCTGACTTGCATGCTTTTTGGGAAAGAAGTTAGAGGACTGTGTATAAGGAGGTTCTCCCTATGGTTAAGCCTGTTTCCTGACTTTTGAATACATGGGTCAAGTATTTATTACTCTTCTGGAAGCATTGCATCCTCTGAAAGAACTAAGCCATGGCATCTAAATCTACCTACTCCATTGTAGGCACTTGGAAGCTGAAGTTGTGATTTCCCCAGAATTAAACAGTGAATTTTCAGGGCTGTTGGGACTAAATGCATTGCTTCTCTTCCAAGCCAGAATTCCTCTGCAAGGCCATTTTCCAGCTCCCCCCACCTTTTTTTTTTTTTTTTTTTTTTTTTTTTGAGTCTAGGTCTCACTCTGCAACTCACGCTGAAGTGCAGTGGCGTAATCACAGCTCACCGCATCCTTGACCTCCTGGGCTCAGGTGATCCTTTTGCCTCAGCCTCTCAAGTATCTGGGCCTACAAGTGTGTGCCACCTGCCCGACTAATTTTTTGATTTTTTTGTGGAGATGAGGTTTTGCTGTATTGCCCAGACTGGTCTCAAACTCCTGGGCTCAAGCAATCCTCCCTCCTCAGCCTCCCAGAGTGCTGGAATTACAGGCATGAGCTACCATGCCTGGGGCCAATTTCCCCCCTATTTTGAAATGAAGATTTGGGCAGCCTAATAGCAAGGTGTGACTCGTTGCATCCATGGCTTGGGGTCGGCATGTTATTACCTGTTGAACTAACATGAATGATCTGATAACACTACATTTTGAATTGCAACTGAAGGTGTTTTGATTTTAAAAAGCTTTTTTATTCATTGTAAAAAAAAATTCTAGCTAGAAGCCCAAACTTCACTTGCATATAGCCTACTTATGTAGCAAATCTCACTTGTACCCCACAGCTCTAAAATGAAAAAAAATTTTTAAAAACCAAGTGCAGTTTTTAAAATCTCTCTACACCTGGAGGTCATCTAATTGCCGAACTGCCCAGCTTCCTGTTTCTAAGCTTTCAAGAGATAGTGACAGCTGGCAAAGGAATTTTGTCTGGGAAAGCATTTGTTAACAGAGCAGAATTGGAGATGCAGCCACTGCAGCCCACTCTCCAGAGTTGGCATAAATCAGACCAGAGTGCGAGTCACAAAGTCCAAGTGAGCTCAGACATTCACATAAATGGTAATATGTCTTTTTGGCAATTTTTTTTTTCCAAAATTACATTTGATTTCATTTAATTCTGTCTCCTCTGCCCCTGCAGTTTATCAGCCACAGGGGTGTGTGGGCTCATATTTGACATTCTAACCAGGTGGAGCCTGTATCTGCAGTTCTTGCCATGGAGCCTGGACATTGGTTAGGGGTTTGCACCATCTGCCTTGGTTGACAAGGCGTTTTGGAGGCCACTGACACAGGCAGCCGTGTTGTCAAGATACTGAATCAGCAGGAAGTTGCTTGGACCAATAGAAAAAAAGACGTGGGGTAAGCCTTTCAGCGGAGTCTTCCGGCTGGTTCTTTCTGGCCGTGTGAAGTCCTGTTGGCTTCAGAGCAAGTTCCTCACGTGGCTTGCTGGGCTGTGCCAGTGTGGCCAGGTATACTCACAGCAGAACTTGCTGACAGAGGCGTGTACGCTGGCACTGAGAGCCTAGTGTTGTCGTCAGTCACGGCTCATCAAGGTTGGTCCCCAACTCTGTTTGCCACAGGGTTAGCTCAACTCTGGTGACATTTATTGTTTTTTTCTCAAGACCCCCCAAAATCTAGAGTTGATTTTTTTTTAGGTGTGAACTCAAGAGATTTAGGGAATTGTTTAACAGGACCTTGGAAATGTACTCTTCAAAGTAAGAGGGAAAAGAGTAAAGATGGAAGATGAAAAGCTGTAAAAGTTGAAAGGAAGGCAGCGCCAGGCCTGCAGGCACCTGGCTACCCCCTAGCTGGTCAGTAACCTGGGCTACATCAAGTCTTTCTGAACTTCAGTTTCTGTGTCCGTGAAATGAGAGATTGGACCAGGTAATCAACTTAAATTGTCAATTTAGGCCAGACACGGTGACTCACGCCTCGAATCCCAGCATTTTGGGAGACCAAGATGGGAGGATTGCTGAATCCCAGGAGTTCAAGACCATCCTGGGCAACACAGCGAGTCCTTGTCTCTATAAAAATTCAAAAAATAAGCTGGGCGTGTGGCACATGCCTGTAGTCCTAGCTACCTGGGAGACTAAGGCAGATGGATCACCTTAGCCTAGGATGGTAAGGTGGTGGTGAGCCATGATCGTGCCACTGCATTCCAACATGAGTGACAGAATGAGACCCTGACTCAAAAAAATAAAATAATGTTCAATATAAAGTTTCCCTTTATTTGTTCCCCACTCAGTTTGGTGCTTTAGGTATAATTCTTTCTAATGTAGCTTTAGGTTGAGTAAATGTGGTGGGAAACAGTAGCAATCTTCATGTATTTGAAGGGATGTCATTGGAATGGGATTTAGTCTGTTTAGCTCTAGAAGGCAGAGATGGAACCAATGGTGGAGGCTATGGAAAGGAAGTTTGGCTCTAAATAAGGAGGAACTGTCCTCAGAGTGCCTCTCCTACTCTAGATGGAAACACTGTATTGGGCTCTAGCCATGCCAGGCATTGGGAATCTTAACATACAACTCCTGCCCTGGGCAGGCTTATGGTTGAATAGAGCAAGATGGGACGATCTGGGCAGAAGTGAGATATGTCTTAGCAGTAGAGCCAGCAAGACACAATGGGAGTGACGGAGTAAAAGAAATCAAAGATGGCTCTTAGATGTTTAGCATTTTCCAAGACAAGGAAAATGGGGCAGGGCAGGAACAGTGACATTAACTTGGACCCAATGAGCTGGCCGTGACTGCTGGACATCTCGGCAGCCATATTGAGTAGGCATCATGTTGTGTGATGGACGTTTCTACAACCGTAGTCTATACTAATAAACTTTAAATGGTCTGCTTTAGCCTCTGAAAATGATTTGCTGAACAAGCGCCTGAAGCTCGATTATGAAGAAATCACTCCTTGTCTTAAAGAAGTGACTGCAGTGTGGGAAAAGATGCTCAGCACTCCAGGAAGAGCCAAAATTAAGTTTGACATGGAAAAACTGCACTCGGCCGTTGGACAAGGTAGGCTCGATTGGGAATCATTGGCATCATCCCTCATGGATGTTGGGGGAGGAATATAGAAGGAAAAAAATTCAACAGTAATGCAAGTGGCTATCTGTCTTCTTTTTATCACATCTTTACCTAATCTATTTCCAGATACCTTAGTTAGTTGACATGAGTTTCATCCCCTTTCATGATTCCTTTTCATTAAAATTCTCAGAAGACCAGGAAACAGGAAGAAGACAGAAAAACCCAAGGGCTTAGTTGCCTACACACTGGACAGTGGTATGATGCTATACTCTGAATTCATTCGTAAACTAGCAGCTAATTGTGTGACTTCTCTCCGAGTACTCTAGGGAGACAACAGAGTGTTGAGCACAGGATTCAGACAGGTGGTCCCAGATTTAGATTCCAGCCCTGCCACTTACTTTGCAGTGTGATCTTAGGCAAATACCTTAACCTGAGCCCTGGCTTCCACATAGGTAAGATGTGAGTGATGACAGTAGCTGTTGCCAGAAGCACCCAGCATGTGCTTGCTATAGCATAGACCTTGGAGAATGGGCAGAATTTGCTGAATTTTCATTGTGGTCTGCTAGTCTGAACTGCTGCTGATCCAAGAAGAGGTATGAACAGAACTTGACACTAAGCCGTTGGAAATGCTGACAGTCATCCCAATGAAAAATGTGGACTTACATTTTGCCAATCTGTTTTTCTTGTCTTGTTTTTTTTTTACTAATTCATGTTTACTGTATTTTATAAAAATATCAGTCTTTAAGTAGATTGGAAAATGTTAAAAAGGAAACAATAGATCCTTCACAGATAGTTTGAGGTACATTTTAGAGCTTAGCTTCACTGATTATTAGTGTACAAGAAAACAGTGACTTCTTTTACATTTAAAATTTTTTTTTAGAGACAAGGTCTTGCTCTGTCACCCAGATTAGAGTGCAGGGGTGCAATCATAGCTTGACTACAGCCTCAGTCTCCTGGGCTCAAGCAATCTCCCACCTCAGCCTCTTGAGAAGCTGGAACTACAGCATATGCCACCACACCTTGCTAATATTTTTTGGGTTTTTTGTAGAGACAGGGTCTCTGTTACACAGGCTGATCTTGAACTCCTGGCCTCAAGTGATTCTCCCACCTTGGCCTCCCAAAGTGCTGGAATTGCAGACTGGAATTACTGCACCCAGCCCAGTGATTTATTTTAAAGTGTATATTAAGGTCTGCTAGCAAGAGTTAGAAGCCTAGAGAGACTAGTGCACTTTTATTGCTACTGAGTTCTGATTGATCTAGTCATGAATAGTCAAGTGTTTAGAATAAGGGTTGCAAATATATATACTATATGTAAATCTTCCTCTGACTTTATCAGTTGTACACTGAAAGAAGATTACATATACAGTCATTATTTATCTCCAAGAGCATTATCAGAGCAAAGCAGTTTTCTCTGTTGTAGTCTTTTAGGCATTTTTACACAGTTTTCTGAGTTTCAACAGCATCCATTTTAGTAGTAATATGTTGTTATTGCTAGTTTTGTCTTTCCCTTTCTATAGCTAAGGAAACAGGCTTAGGACAATTGAGTAGTGGCTCAAGACCCCAGAGCGGGGCTAACACTGCAGCCTGCTGGGGTTCTCACCATCTCCTGGTGAACAGACCTCAAGAGTGCTGTTCTCAAAACTGGAAATGTATGCAGGGTTAAGATGAGGGTTTTAAATTAGCAGCAGCTTCCAGTGTGACCTTCAGCCAGTGCCCTCAGCCTCTTCTCTGGTAGACTGAGAGGCTTGGACCGAGCCAAGGGTCTGGGAGCTCCCTTCTAGGTCTGCTGTTCCTTGCAACTGTGGGGGTTGCTGGAGTCTTACCCTGTGATACCAAATGGCCTCAGATTGCTGATAAAAAGGGAGAAAGGGGGAAGAATGAGTCTGTTCTTTCCTTTTTCCCAGTTGACTAGATGGCTCCAGGTGGTTTTGCTTCTGCACAGGGTAAATTGCTCGGGTTTGTGAAAACTATTCCAAATATTTGAGCTTCTTAGTTTTTCATCATGAATTTTATGAGGGGGCTAACAGAAATTCTCTGGGAATCTGCCCTCCATAGTGAAGTTGCACGTAGATGATTACACATTTCACGTAGTGGGTAAGCGAATGCTGACCTGGGGTTCCCCTTTTTCCTCACTTTTTACTGCAGAAACTTGTCCTCACTTTTTACTGCAGAAACTCTCTCTAACCATCAAAGGGGCTCTGTCAACCAACTGGTTTCAACACAAAATTTAATGACTCCAACCAAATGACCACTATCCATTTGTAGCTCAGAATAAATACATGAGATTATTAATAAATCAGAACCATACCTTTGACCTTTCAAGTGGAGGCCCAGTCAGCTTGGAGACCTCAAAAGTGAGGACAGTCCTTGTGTGGGCAATGAGACCTTTCCTCTTAGTGAGATGACCCCTAAGCAACAGAAGTAAAGGAATTTATAGCATTTTCTAAGTTAAAATCAGATAGGGCTGGGCTCAGTGGCTCAGACTGTAATCCCAGCGCTTTGGGAGGCCAAGGTGACTGGATTGCCTGAGCCCACGGGTTTGTGACCCGCCTGGGCAACTTGGTAAGACCTCATCTCTACAATAAATAAAATATCAGCCAGGCGTGGTAGCGCGCGCCTGTAGTTCCAGCCACTTGGAAGGCTGAGGCGGAATGATTGCCAGAGCCCAGCAGGTCGAGTCTGCGGTGGCCAGGAGTGGCCACTGCACTCCAGTCTGGATGACAGAGTGAGACTCCAACTCAAAAAACAAAAAAATCAGATAGGAGTGGCAGAATTAGGGCATCCACTCAGAAGAAGAAGAAATAATTCTGTGATATTTTAGACAATTCCTTCTCTAAAGTTATCTAGATAAAGCTTTATAAGCCGGAACACATCTTTCTAGGAAACAGATTGCAGAGTGGCCTCCTAAGCAGCCGGCAGTAGGGCCAGATACAGACTCTGCTTACCTTTGACCCAGCAATGCCATTATAGAAACTTACTCCAGAGCTTAATCAGCCAAAGGTGTACTGCAGTGAGAAGAATGCTTATTGTGGCATTGTTTAACAGCCAAAGCAAAACCTAGCCATGTGACCATCCCACTTCATGTTTCTAAAAAATGACAGAGTAAGTAAATCTGTATTTACTGATGTAAAAGCTGTCTGAGATAAGTTGTTAGTATAAAAAAAAGTATAGTATAGCAGGGTCTCATGCATAGTTGATATTCCTGTATTGGGTATGCATATGCAGATATCCAAGGTATAGGTTTTGGATGACCATAAGACTTGGGTCACCTGGAATAACCATGGTTTATGATTCTTGTCCTGGTCAAGTAATTTACAGCCATCCTCCTTTTCTTTTTTTTTTTAATTATATATATTTTTATTTTAAAATTGTAGGGTACAGTTGAGTTAGGTATACAAATATTCATTGTGCAGGTACCCTTGTTGATGAGGTGTACCCCACCCCCTTCCCCAGACAGATATTGACTACCATTAATCCAACCTCCCTGCCCCTCCCTGACCCCCCCACCATAGTTTCCCACCACTGTCAATCCTTTTCTTATAGTATTATGGTAGTTGTTCAAGGTCCACTTATGTGTGAGAACATGTGATACTCAGATCTTTGTTTCTGTGAAAGATCAGTCAGTATTATAAACTCTAATTCCATCCAGGTTGCTGTGAAATTCATGATTTTGTTCTTTTTTATGGCTGCATAACATTCCATTGTATATATGTACCACATTTTTTAATCCAATCTTCTTTTGATGGACAGCACAGTTGGTTCCATGATCTTGCTATTGTGAACAATGCTGCGATAAACATACATATGCAGGTATCTTTTTTATAGAGTGATTTGAGTTCTTCAGGGTATATTCCCATTTGGGGGATTGTGGGGTCATATGGAAGGTCAAATTTTAGAATTTTTAGGAATCGTCACACTGATTTCCACAGAGGCTGTACTAGTTTACACTCCCATCAACAGTGTAGAAGTGTTCCCTTTTTGCCACATCCTCTCCAGCATCTGTTATTTTTTGAGTTATTGTTGATGGCCATTCTGACTGGAGTTAGGAGCTATGTCAGTGTAGTTTTAATTTGCATCTCCTTGATGATTAGTGAGGCTGAACATTTTTTCATGTGTCTGTTGGCTGCTCATATGTCTTCTTTTGAGAAGTGTCTGTTCATATCTTTTGCCCACTCTGTAATGGGGTTGTTTGTTTTTTTCTTTTCACGCTTGAGTTCCTTGTAGATCCTTGATGTTAGGCCTTTGTCAGACATGGAGTTGGCAAATATTTTTTCCCAGTCTGTGGGCTCTCTTGATGGTTTCTTTGGCTTTGCAGAAGCTTGTCAGTTTAATGAGGTCCCACTTGTCTATCTTATCTCTTATGGCTGTGGTTTTCGGGTTTTGCTCAGGAATTGGTTGCCAGTTCCAACTTCCATAAGGGTGTGTCCTGCATTTTCGAAAGTTCTTATGGTTTGAGGTTTTACATTTAGGTCTCTGATCCATTTAGAGTTAATTTTTGTGTATGGGGAGAGATAGGGGTCCTGTTTGAATCTTCTGCATGTGGTCAGCCAGTTTTCCCAGGACCATTTACTGAATAGGTTCTCCTCTCCCTGGTGGTGGGTGGTGGAGGCTTTGTCGAAGATGAGTTGGTTGAGAACTTGAGGTTTTGCTTTTGGAATCTCAATTCTATTCCATTGGTCTATATGCCTGTTCTAGCCATCCTCCTTTTTACTTTCAAAAGCTTCCTAGTTACGGGTGGTTTTTCTTTCTTCTTTATACCTGTTGTATTTTCAGAGGTTCCCCTGCCCCCCATTTAAATAGTGAGTATATATGACTTCTCAAGTGAGTAAAAATAAAAAATGGCCTTCTGCCCGCAAGGTTCTCCAGAGGCTTCTCTCTCAGGTTATGGGTGAAGACACACCGAGTATGGGGAAGGGTGTTCCAGGCCATTCCTTGCCAAAACATTGGGTCCTATTTGCATGACCCTGTGCTTTAAATCATAGGGATCTAAGTTTCTTCTTGAATACCAGAATATCTGGTACTATCTAGTGACACAGGCAATATTCTCTTCCTCCCCCCAAAAAAGGTCTGATAAGATAATGGGAATGATTTAGCAATAAAAGGAAATTTGACATCTCATAACTTGGGAAAATTTTCCAGCTTGAAAAAAAATGTTTTGTGAAAAAGCCCCACTATAAATCACTTATCACACTTATCTAATGAGGCTAGTCTTAAATAACATCATTGGCTTTAAGATAACTTTTCTTAGTTTTAGACAACATTTTAAATCACTTTGAGTATTTGAATTAATCATGTTTAAAACGTTGGATGGGTGATCTTGGGTTATTTTCTGGTCTTTAGCTCTCTCCTGAATGCCCACATGGCATGCTGATGTGGACAGTCCCTGCCCAGCCTCTAGACCCTTCTTCCAACCCACCTTGCAGAAAGACATCTAGCCAAAATTCCAGAACCTCAGCTTTGATTAGGCTCCTCCCTCCCCAACTCAAAAACATTCGGTGGCTCCCTAGCGCTACCAATGAAGTACAGGTTTCTTGCCCTCAATTTTACCTGTAGCTGGACTCAGTGGCTCAGCCTGTAATCCCGCGCCTTTGGGAGGCTGAGGTGAGTGGATTGCCTGAGCCCACGGGTTCGAGACCCACCTGGGCAGCGAGACCTCATCTCTACAATAAATCAAAAAAATCAGCCGGGCGTGGTAGCGCATGCCTGTAATTCTGGCTACTTGGAAGGCTGAGGCAGAAGGATCACTGAAGCCCAGCAGGTCGAGGTTGCAGTGGCCAGGAGCGGCCGCTGCACTCCAGTGTGGGCGACAGAGTGAGACTCCGACTCAAAAAAAAAAAAAATTTTTTTGCCTGTAACAAAACCCTTCCAGTCTTATCATCACCAACTCCTCTCTCTTACATGTACCCGGTACCTGAGGCTAATGTCATCGCTCATGGGGCCCTCTCACTGGTCTTTTCCCCTCATCCTTATGGCATGGCTCAAACAAAGGGTCCTGGGAACCCTTGATTGCTCAGTTAGAAATGAGCCTCCCCTTCCTTAACCGAGCTCTGCCTCACTGTGATTCTGTCTTGTTTGTGAGATCACATTTTGTGTTATAGTTTTTTATGCTTGATACTATTTCCTGAGAATGTCATTTATTGGCACTAGGTTGGGGCTCATGTCATATTCTTTAGTTTACTGCCTGCAGAGTCGAACACAGTTGGAAAATGATAGACTAAAAAATGAGAAGAGAGAGGGAAGGGCCTGAGAAAGGGAAAGTGAAGGGTGGGTGGGTGGGTTGGGGGGTGGATGGATGGATGGGTGGGTGAATGGAAGGGAAGGA